CATTCCGATCGGCTGCCGCTCATGCAGCTCATTCGCCGTATATAGAAAATTAACTATGATTCGGTGTGTCCACATTTTTGTAGATAGCGAAGATGTCAAAGAAGTAGGGTCGATTTTCCTTCACGTGATTAATAAAATGGTCTTAATATTCGTGAACTAATATGCATGGTCTAATATGCATGCGAAGACATGGCCGAGGACGCTATGCCCCGAACTTTTCTACATTAAATAATAGTAAAGTCGATCGTGTCAATAAGTGGTAGGTGTGCATATTAAAAAATCTTCCATTGGTAAAATGCTTGTATCACAAAAACATTTTTTGTGTCTAACAATAATAAATAATTTTCCAAAAACTAACAAATTTTTTCCTCACGTCTTTTTTTCTTTCTAAAAGAGATGGTTATTAATAATATTGATGATATCAATAGATCGATTAGTAGTGTTTAGTTTAATGCTAATATTTCGTCTATAACGCATATATAATAAATAATAATAAGGGTTAATTATTCGGTATCTTTACAACTTTTAAAATTACTTATAACAAAAATAAAATGGGAGCTATTCTCAAAAAACCATCTTCTGATTCCGTCCATACAACGCCCTCAATAACATCGCCCACTCTTAGGCGATCCATAAATTCTTCCATGAGTCTTGACTATGATTTCTGTCGTCGAACTTACTGGCTATGTTCCGAATGCGGAAATCCGAGAACTGGTTACAGCTGGTGTCAATCCTGCGAAGCCAACCGTTTCGAATCTGAATTTCCGCATTGGACTAGCGGTAACATTGATATTGATGATTTTATAAGGCAATCACAGAAAAATGCTTATACTGCTCAAGATTATTTGGAATGGATACCTTATGAAAGTTTTGTGGATGTCAAGTATTTGGCTAGTGGTGGATATGGAAATGTGTACACAGCTTATTGGAAAGAAGGGCCAAGGTGGGCGTGGAATGAACAAAAGATGGAGAGGGTAAGAATTGGTCCAAGAAAAGTGGTATTGAAAAGTTTGGTTAATTCACAAGATATTACATTGGATTTTTTGAACGAGGTAATTTTTAAATAACATAAAATTTTTAAATTTATCGTTTTTTAATTAATTTAAAAATTTTTTTAATATCTCTTAATATAGTTAGCATTACACCATATCTGTAATGCAGATGGTCATGTAATATTCTGTTACGGTGTCTCTCAAGATCCAATCACTAAAAACTATTTACTCGTAATGGATTACGCTAAAAGTTTTTACAAACATGTAGTTAAACCTTCACAACATATATCATGGAAAAAAAAATTAGAGATACTTTACGATCTTATAATAGCACTTTCTTCGTTACACAACAAAAATATAATTCATAGAAATTTTCATCCGGGTAATATATTTTTGGATGCAAAGCATCCAGGATTTACTCGTATTTCAGATATAGGTCAATATTTTCCACCGAATAAATCTTATGATAATAGTGGTATATATGGTGTTTTACCATATGTTCCACCTGAAATACTATTAGGATCTGATTATTCGACAGCGTCGGATATATACTGCTTTGGAATGATAATGTGGAGCATTTCTACTGGAAAACGCCCTTTTGAGGAAAGACCACATGACCAAACATTAGCCTTGGATATTTGTAATAATTTGAGACCTAAAGCTGTAAAAGGAACTCCACCATCATATGTTAAATTAATGAAACGATGTTGGGATTCGAGTCCGGATAGACGTCCGGATTCAACTGTGGTTGCAGATATTTTGGAAGACTGGTTAGATCAATTAATGAACGACAATAATAATGAATCGACGATTAGGAAAGAGTTCTCGACGGCTGAAGAGCATAGAAAAAAGGGTAATGGATCACTGCCATCACCGACGGTACATCCACTGTCTATATATACGAGTAGATTATTGGAATTTCCAAATTTAAGTGAAGAATTCAGTAAATCATAATAGAATAATAGTATAGGTTTATTTGCATTTATTAATTTCATTTTTAATATTAGTTCAATGAAATACTAATAGAATATTAAAATATTAAATTGGTGCATTATAGACATATTTTCTATAACGAATTTGTCCTTTAATTTTTTTTTTTAGCTTGTTCGAATTTCAAGTTTCACACTTTTTTTTTTGTTTAGATTATCATGCATGTATATATATTACAAATTATCATTTATTTCAACACATTATTGTTTAATTTTGCCAAGAGTTATAGGTGAGATAAGGATTATTTAGTGGCATAATTGTTTTGTTTTTTCCCCTTCGTTTCATTCGTTAGTCATGTATATTGACTCAAATATAATAAAAGTCAATCCAACACAAGTTTGGCATCTAAGATATGATGCATTTGAAGTATTCGATTTACTTAAATGATCGCGATAATTTTAGGAGATCTATTCGCGTTAATGTTAATAAAACCTTTTCATTTGATTACTATCATGTCATTTTTATTTAACTTTACATTATTTTTAGTCAATCAAATCTTGGTTAGTAGTAAAAAAAAAACTTTAAAAAGGAAAATCTTTATTAACAATATGGTACAGTATTATTAATTTAGCTATTCTAATACTTATAATTAATGTTTTTATTTTCTTCCTAATACTTACAATTTTATTTTGTTTTTATTTTTTATTTTTACTAAATGTAGCAGATCAGTTAGATCAAATATTGACAGAACCTACATAAGTCTACATGTAATTTGATTAAAAATTTAAGCTAATGATGATGTGAAATATTTTGTGCTTTATATATATATACTGTCTTGTTGAATTTATTTATGCTTTAACATTCCCTGAATCTACTTTTATCCATACCAATAATTTTTAAAAGCTCTGGGTGTAAAACAGGTTTTTCTACACCATGCCAATCATGTCCATTTATTTCTCTTATTTTACTTCGAATTTCATCCACATGTGCCTTATAATAACTATTGCGACAAAAGAAACGTGTATTATTAATATCATACCTTAAAAACATAGACAAGAGATAATAATTGTACTCACATATAATCTGGGAACCAATGCCTCCATCTACGTTGTTGAGGAAATAGACAAAACAGTTCAATTTCTGCCAAGATCTTTACAATATAAAAAAACAGTGAATATTACTAAGATCATAAAATAAGAAAACGATAATACTAAAATAATTATGGTTAAGCACCTCTGCTTTTTGCATCAAGAACGATGCCTTATTGTCATTTTCTTGAATCGCATTATTAAGTAACCCAATGAATAAATTAAGTAAATAGATAACCGTAAAGAAAGAGAATGTGATCATCAAGAAAACTAAAGGGAAATTATCACTATATTCCCAGCTTGAAAGAGATCCAGTATCCCCTGTTTATATATTACGGTATACGCTGTTATTTATCAATATACTTTTTATAAAATTAAAGCGAATAAATGGCATATAAATACCTGTCATTAATTGATATACTGCGATCAACGCAGTACCAAAATTGGTATACATGTTTGTATTCTTATTGGGTGGTTCGATAAACGCAGATTTTTGAATAATATTTCCTTGAGAACTAATACGATTAAATGATGGAACAAGATTCCATGGATTATTTTTATCATCATTAAATAATGGTGTAGATTCATCAAATTCTTCAATCGGTTGTAATAATGTAAATAAAGCATGGGTATATCCTAATAATATCAAACCCAAAATTATTAAGAATGAGAATACTTTTCGTGCAACACCGGTTATCATGGCAAAGTAGACACCAAAAGATTCAAAAGGTCGTAAGAAAAATAAGAATTTTAGATCAAGAAATAAATTGGACATCGCTGGTGCCCATAGCGGTGGAGGGCCATAATTTATCCAGTATATGGAAGTGGCAACCGGAAGAATATATGCGCCTAAGTCTATAACATGAAGCAAATGTTAATTTCATAAACAGGTGTCAGCCTAATGAATTTGTAATAATAGTATCCTGGGCCATTGAGTATAAGCGGAAACGTCGTTTCCGTGTTGGCATTTGGCCTATGCCCAATAAAAATTTTATTTGGACTTGGACTGATCCAAATAATGACCACGTCCATATTCGCGTAACATTCCTCATAGCTCTTTGCGGAGAAATTCGGAATTTCGCGTGTTTTACTTTCCATTCGGAATATTTCGGAACATTAGGCTGATTTCAATAAGAAATTCAGGAGGATCACAAATTTCCGGGTCGGAATACGTTGGCATTTAGCAATAGTAGTTAGCAGAGTCTATAGCAAAATCATCAGCTGGGCATTTTTTTTACTCAATGAGCGATTATGACTTCATTAGTAAAAAATTTTTAGTGATCTTGGGCAAAATCGATCAATTCCGGCCCAGCCGACCAAGATTATGATATATTCCGACCCGGAATTTTAGGGATCTCTCTGTATGAGTTGGACATAGTCCATAAATACCCTTGTCCAATTATCCATATTGTCCATTTCCACATGTTGCCAACACTGATCGCTTCCGTACGCGTATGGCCCAGGGTATTTTTATTAATCTTCGTTAATACATATATAACATACCGAAAAAATTCCAAGCGCTCAATATATAATCTTTCCAATTAAAAATAAATTGTCGTATTTCAAACGACAAATGAAAAAATCCCAAGATAATGCAAAGCCATAAGAGAATTCTTTGATTACTTTGTGAGATGAAATCTTTTGGATCCGTAGCTGCGAATGCAAATGTTCCAAGAAATATTGTATAAACGAACCAATTAAAGAAGTAATAATATTTCCCAAAAGTATTCCATTTAAAATTAAGTAGAGCCTCCCCATTCCAATCAGAATATAATTCCGCTGTTTGCATTTTTACAAATCCATTTGCTTGTGGTCTACCCAAGAGTTCTTTCCAAAAATTATATTCGACAGGATAAGAAGAAAATTTTGACAAAGGTATAAATAAATCAAGTGCGGGTCTTTTAAATTTTCTATTATAACCAAGAAATTCAAGACTACTAATCCATAAGTCAGAATTCTGTAAATCTAGCATGAATTTACTAGATGATCTATATAGGTTCAAATAAAATTTAGAAAATCTGTCGAGTCTAAACATATGATGTTCCAAAGTATATGTATAAAGATGAGGATAAAATGTGGAATGAATATGCACATGATCCATAGGCTTCATTACTAAAGTAGTTTGAGCTAGAAATTTGCTAGCGCTTCCAGGATAATACTTGTCAAGTTTAAATAGAATACTTGATATTATTGAAAGAATGGCAAGATTTTTTTGATTAGCCTGGAAAAATTCCATGCATTGATCACAAACAAGTTCAACGACATCACCCCTATGATATTTGATTGCAGCTTTTAAAATTTTTGGAGCATGTAACGTAAAAAATAACAAATCTGTGATATTATTTTCGATCAGTTCATGAAGAGGATGTGATATCTCGTTTGTTTTGGAGTTTTCCATTTCAACTTCGTAATATTTCAAAATATCTTCAAAATATCGAACCGAAATTAAGTTATCTAGTTTTACTTCACCAGCAGTTAAACTATGTCTATCCCACCAATAACTTATTTGGATTTTATGTTCGCAGTCAAGAGTAAAGATCAATATAAAACTTCTATTAACGACCATAAAATCTTCATTAGATAGTATTCTGCAGTCTTGGATCCCACCAGCTAATCTATCATCAATTCTATTGAAATAAAAACCGCGTCTTGTGTCGATAGGCTCCCAATAATAAGTGATCTTATTAAGACTGAATGCAGCGAGCTCTTCACCATCTTGAGTATCAAAAATTGACCAAGTAATATTATTACCAGAATAAACTTTGTTATAACTTGAAGAGGGTGATGAACTACTACTAGATCCCAAGTAATATTTAAGATTATCAGCTATTTCTTTCATAAAATTTTGCAAGTAGATATTATTACAATCCTGGACATCTTTTCGAGAATGATTTTCTTGAAAAATATCACGAACATGTACAAGACCATCTACTATTCCAATAGCCTTATTTTGATTTATAAATCTAGGAGTGAAACCTAATGGTACGTTAATTCCATCAGCGGATTCCTTCAAAGAAATATGTACGGGGTGTACAGGACTATTATGCGATAATGGATCTATAAAAGTCAAAAGGTCAATAACCGGTGGGTCATCGATTCTTGTATATTTAGTAAATGATGGAACCAATAAACGTGCACCACTACACACGAAATCAATGCCATATTGATTTTCTTTAAGAGTATCTAATTATAAATAACCAAATTATTTAGATAATAATAATTGATAAATGAATAATGATACGAAAATTAATCGTCTTACGTGAAAAAAGTTTTACACCCGTTTCAGCAGAGTAAACATTAAGAACTCGCTTTAGAGGTTTTCCTACACAAGTATATGATGCAAGTAAAGTTTTATCACTATTTCGTACAAAACCGTCATGACCTTCTGAATCTTCTACACTTCTAAAATCCATAGGAATCTGAGCGGAAAATGATCCAGTTTCGAGATCCCATTGAGTTCTAATATCATCTTCCTTATATTCATATTTATAACAAGCAGGTATTAGTTTTCCGAATTTAGCGATTAAGCATTTAGTATAACGATGGGTAAAACCATAAGCTGCTTTGCATTTTAATATGCTTTGACCTTTAAAAAAGTTAACAGTATATACGAAGACGTCTGTATCATTAATGACTACCAAATCTCCATTATCAAGAAAAGCGCATTCAAATAAATGATAATGAGATTGCATAGGAATTCCTGGAACCTTTATATGGCAACCTCGAACAAGATCAAAAATGACTGCAAAATAAAATATGAATTTTAATAGATTTATTTATTAATAACTTGCTTCAAACATCATGTACTTATGAGATATCATGAATTTTAGGGCGTTTACTTACCGAAAACACGTATACTTGGTTCATTATGACTAGTATATTCTACGACAACTAAATGATTATCTGAGACAGAACGTAATTTGTGATTTACGGCACCCTCATCATGAATAAATTGTCGAAAAGTGGCGCTCGATTCTGGCTGTAATATACTTTTATCATCAATAACTGGCCATATCGCAATAATAAAATCACGCTTTTCCTTGATCGAACTTGATGTGGCAATGTATTTAAGTTTAGGCGAACAGATAACCGTCGTTACTTTATCATTATGTGGTGATGATGATATTGCTGTTTTAATATCTGTTTTGATACCACCATTAGCTGATAATTTAGATTTCGTGAGTTGTTCCATTATTCAAAATGTTGAAATCGAACAAAAAACGATGGCATCTAAAGTCTTGGCAAACACCCTTAAATTCTATATACCAAAATTGGTTACATTCATTGACAAGATCAGCAATGTTTGTAATATTTTTATCATTTTTATCATTGATCATTGGTTGATTATTTATATGTACAGTACATTTTGAGAACGTACTGTATCCAATAATTTGCAAATCCTCATTAATTGAATTCACTAGTGCATAATTGTCCCTATTAAATAATAGTGAACAGTACGATATTATTTAATATATATATATATATATATATAATTCTTCCATTCGTTATTTTCACAATTGGGATGTTTTAAAACGTCATAGTATCACTTTAGGGTAGTTGGTAAGCTGATGAGGCAAGCTTTTTAGCTCGCAAAATCATAGCCTTATAAAAAGGTTAATCCATGTTATATAATAAATGGAAATTATTCGGCCTCCCTGATCATGTTGCAGATTCACGGAGTGTTTACAATAAATAAGGAGATATAATGTAAATATTCAAATAAAAATTTTTATAGGATAGTGGCAAGATTCTTGCCACTATTGTTTTGCATCGCCATATATTTTAAAATGATTTGACGCAAAATTCGATGTGTTACATTTCTACATTGTATTCAAATCTTCTAAAACTTCGATAGTTTCCATATCGATATCGATCACAGCTTGAGCCGGCTCCAAAAATAGAACATGCATACGAATGTTGCAATACATAAATATTATTGGAAAAAACCTAATTTTCGAAAAATTAATATGGACAACAAGGCCGACATTTATCTCAGTTACCCAGAATGAAAATACGTAGTTGTAATGAGTTGGAGATAGTTTGCAAAGCCGAAGGGATACCAAAAGCCATATATTTTTTATAGTAAAATTTTAAATTGATATAACTTTTTAAAAAATACGATAGCAAAAATAATGATAGCTTAGCTGATAATACGGAGTAGCGGGAAGGAACTCTCATTATATGGGTTAGGACTCGAGAAATTCCTCCCTTTAAACGTCTGCTACTCTTTTTTGAGCAATTTTTTATTTGTATGATCTCATTTAATAACATTTACTGTTTTATAATAAAGTTTTTGTTTGTAACATAGACTTTTTTATTTTTAATAGCATTAAACAAAGCAGATATAAGAACTAAATAACGTGAACAATTTCTGTGGAGTAATAATTAATTTTCGTCCTTTTTTGTCAACTTTTTTTCATCCTTTTCACCTATTTTTTTCTTTTTATAGTATTTTTCAGTGTATCTAAAAATCGTAAATGATCTTCTTGAAAAGCATTTTCGTGATCGATGATTCCAATGAGTTGTTGCTGACTTAATCGATTTCTTAAATTATGCAAATGATTATTTGTAACAAAGGATTCTTGGCATATATCAGCTGTATAGGCAACTAATATGCCAATAGAACCAAATTTGTTACACCGGTTTATTATCTTATTGATAATAGGTCTGGTTGATTCTTGAAAAAATTTTCCATTCTTATCCTTATAAAACAATTTTGGATCAATAGTCTGAGTGCTCCTGCGATTGTATGAACTGAATAGCGCAATTTAACCTGAACAAAAACAGGACTATGACATTATTCTCAAATTCAACAAAAAAAATAATATCAGGACCACAATGATCATCTGGAAAATAAAATGCCGGGCGTAGCTCAGATGGTTCATTAAAGAACTTATTCAGTGTGTATCCTGTAGTTGCATTTGCTACATTATCTCTAGATGATTTGGCAATCCTTGGAGATCCTATGCAAAAGGGTGGCAAGTCTTCATTCTTGGCAAGTTTAGCAAATATAGGTATCTTCCTAATATCAATCTGGCCATTGAATATTTGCATAAATTCCTCAGGTAAGTGCATTTGCCACAAAGTGCCACATGAGCTTGCATTTTTAACTTTGGACATCATATTAAGAATATCTTTAAGTTGAAAGAAGCAGTAAGAGCAAATAGTTTATCAACAAAAGCAATCAAATATTTTTTCCCTTGGGTTGCAGTATATAATAAATCTGCATCTACACTTGAGATACACAACATATTTTTATCCATATCTCCAAATACTTGCTTAAGGTAAGAGATAGTGAATAGGTTTACCATCTGAAGATGCCCAAAACCACTTTCAACTATTATTATCTGATTGATATCAGTAAACAAAAATGGGCTTCCAGAATAATAATAGACAAGCATTATGCTTTTATACAAATCAAGAATATTTGTTGACAACATGTGATCAGAGAAGATGATTTTTTGTAGTAATAAATAGTCGTGATAAAATAAATTTCTGCATAATTTTGTACTCCAAATTTATAAATTCTGTATCAATCCATACAATAAAATTTATAAATTTTGCATTTGTTATAACAGAAATCTCAAATATTCTGCAAATATTATTACTTATTTTTTTGAATATTATTCAAAAATTTAGCTTGAGCATGCTTGTCTTTTAGGTTCGTTTATTTTCTACATCAAGACTTTTTGGACAATATATTTTTAGGATTGTTTACCTATAAATCCTTACATTTCGTGATATTTTCATGCTATATTTTTACTTTCTGAAACAATTCTGTGCTATTTTTGATGCATTTTGTATTTATTTACTAATTTTGTAATTCTGCAGCATTCCATGAAATGCAGAAAATCATTGTTCCTGCATATGATTGGGTCACTTTTTTTTTTTTCTTTTTTTTTTTTTAATCTTAGGCAGTTTCGCCAGTACTTTATTAAGATTCTAAGTATATTACTATATTATATACTTGTTTACTCCTAATTTGCAAGCCTGACATCATCTGGCTATCTAAATAGTGCCCAAGTGCAACCTGCCGCACTAATTTGAAGATTACTCTAAAAACTAGAGGCTGTGTTAAATTAGCCTAAGTGCCACACCAAAATGGCTTTCCACCGACTCTAATTCTATTCCACATTGTCTTCCTTACCAAAGCATCTATCCTTCTATTTGTAATTTTTTTCTATCTTTAACTTTTTGTAATGTAGCTTCTTTAGAGTTAGGCGGTTTTCTACTCTTCTGATAGGAATTTTTCTGTGTTTCTGTCTTTTCTTTTCTTTTTTCCCTGTTAATCTTCTTTTTATCCTGCCCTTTGGTCCTTTTTTCTAATTTTTGCTACTTAGAGATGCTTTTTCCTTGTTCCCACTTTATCATCTTTTCATATCTCGATCGTTATATAATTTCGTAAAATCCATTCCACAAAACATGTATCGCTGCATCTAAAGCTAGATCTGCTTCTCTTTTTGTTAACCCTTGGTCAATAAGCTCTTCTATAACTGTGTTTTTAAATAAACCCCGAGTGTAGCCTTCTCTTCGTTCTTTTTGCTCTTTGTACGTTTCACCGAATAAATATTTCTGGAGTTCACTTGTTTGTAATTTCCCTCTTCTCTCAGGTTCGCTTATAAGGGCTTGTACTATTTCAATTGCTGCTTGTTCAATTTTATGCCAATGGGTCTGCTATGCTTTGCAGCATGCTAAATGATTTTGTGTTTCTTCTATATTATCTTTACACAACTTGTAGCTACTCCTCTCATATAGGTCTGGCCTTCTTTTAACGAGGTTGCTCAGTACTGAAAGCTGATTATGCAGGTACTTGATTAGGAAGTTGAGCTTTTTTCCTTTTTGTATTGATGTATAGTGCACTCCACTTTGGGATTTAATTCTTCTCCATAGACTTTTCCAATCTCATTTCTGTGTGTTGTCTCTTGGTTCGAGTAGACTTACAGTACTTAACATTCTCCATTCTGCTGCACTTCTTGTGTCTTCGAGTTCTTTGATGAAATTTCTTGTTGGGATTTCAATAAGGCTATTCTGCCAATAAATACTGTATCTAAGCCTTGAACTTGCTACTACCTCTTGTATTCGTAAATTTGGTGCTAGCAATCTTTTCTTTGCTAAATGATCTGTCTTATCGTTCTATTTGTTCTTACTATGACCCTTAACTTTAATTAATTCTAGCTTCAATTCTTTCGTGTTTTTGGCATCTATAATTTTAAGCAGCAAAAAATAATTTTTTTGTTTCAACCATTCTCTATTTGTTCTCAAACCTTCACCTTTTTCGATTGCATCTATTGCAGCTGCACTATCTGTATGTATCTTGATTTTGGTTTTTATTGGGGCTATAAGTAGAACTATCTATATTGCTGCTAATTCAGCTCTTGTCGATGACGGCCAATGTTTTATACTTAAGCACCCCTCCTGTAACTTAGTTTTTTCACTTTCGTCAATTTGTAGCCAACCTAAACCCTGTTTACATAATGCTCTTCCGTTACTCATTTCTTTGGATAATGAGCTATCTGTATAGAAAGTTAATGCTTTTTGGTCTGTTTCTATATTTCTATCTAGTTGATTTAATAATAACCCATCACAATATTCACTAAACTCTTGTTTTTTAATATAGTCTCTCTCTAATCTATCTATATAAACTATATCTGCCAGGCTTGCATGTTCTAAACTATATGAGCCTTTATCTGTTTCCCTCCTACTAGTTCTCTCTAAATCAATATTGTTTTTCCTAATTCCTTCAAGTGAGCTTTGTGTCATATCAAGAACCCAACTATTATTTTGCTTTCTAAACCCTTGCAATACTGTAATTACTTTTTTCTTATTGATCCACTCTGTTTGTTAGATATTGTATGACATAATCGCTTCTTTATCTATTCTGATTTACCTTTCTCTTCTTTACTAATTAACCACTTCTCTGTATGAAATCTTTCTTTGCTCTTGCTAATTACTCTTCGAATGTCTGGCTTGTTTTCTTTATTGTTAACTAGTATTCAATCGAGTTTACGTTTGTCTTCTGAGACCTTTACTTTTTGGGGGTATTACCGCTAACTTGTTTGTACTACTTGTTTGCAGATCTTGCTTTATCTCTCTTGTATCAAAGTTAGTGATCATCTGATTCTCAATTGACTTAAACCAGATTGGGACTTTTCCTTTACTAGATCTTTCTTTGACTCATTTAAGATAATGCCACGTAATCATCTGCTTCCCCTGCATATCCAAGAGCTGTTTGATAAATATTAGATCTAATGATTTTAGCATCTTTGCACACTGTATAAAAGCTTTTCCTCCTATTATACTACATATTGTTCTACCTATATCTCTGGTTCCCCAACTACCTTGTGTTGGTTTAGTTACTAATTGCTTCTTTGCTTCCTTTACTAAGGTAAGCATTGCTTGATTGTATTTCCAAAGTTTTTCAAGCGCTATATATTCTTCTCGGCCATCAAAGCTCTCTGTTAAACCAGCTATTTGGTGTCCTTGCCAAATTCTCAGCTCAGTAATTTTGTTAATTATCCCTTCATCATTTAATCTATTATGTAGACTTGTGATCTGTTTATTTAATAATTCTGAAATTTCCTATATTCTTGTGTGTAGTTATATAGTTCGGTACTGTAACTTGGAGGTCAAGTTTGCTTTTTGCTAGCCTAATCATTGGTTGATGAATTCTGTCTATTAAGTCTCCAGATACTCTTGATAATTGAAGTAGGTAACAGAGTTTAGGTATAATACACATATTATTAATATATGCTAATTGGCTAACTGTAAGTTTTTTCCACCTTAGTGCTTCTACTGTTTGTTGTATGATTACTTTGGCTTTTTTTTTTATCAAATTTTCATTTATTCTACAGTTAAACCATATTCCAAGAACTCTTATTATGTTATTTGTCCTTTCTTCTTTAATTTTTTCATCTCCAAATACAATATATTTTTCTTTTGATCTGGACTCTGGATTGAAAACTATCCCTTAAATTGTAACACAGGCAAATTTGCCTGCGAAGATTTTTACTAATTTTTTTAATATTTAAATTTT